TATCTATCTATCTATCTATCTATCTATCTATCTATCTATCTATCTATCTAATCTATGTATCTATGTATCCTCCTTTCTCTGTGTGTGTGTGCATGCACACACCTTCTGGAGGTCAAAGGACAACCTCAGTTGTCAGTTCTCATCTTATTCCTGGTTTGAGACAGAATTTCTTGTTTACCACTGTGCATGCTAGACTATCTGACCTGAGAGCATCCAGCAGGAAGGGAATTCTCACAGGAGCACTGTGATTAGAGACCCATGCTGGTCTGGCTTTATGAGAGTTCTGGGGATCCAAATTCAGGTCTTCATTCTTGCATGGCAAGTACTTCACTCACTGAGCCATAGTAAAAGCTCCACAATTTTTTTAAAAGTCTGTATTAGTCTATTGGAATGTAAAACAATTACCTTATTATATTGCGTTTTCCCAGGTATCTAAAATTTTGAAGACAAACACTAGAAAAGGGAAAAAGTCACATTCTAATTATTCACATTCTTTGATTTATACATAACAATTCATCTAAATATACAGAAAGAAAAGTAGTAAATTTTCTTTACATATTCTATATACTATTGTTGATATTTATTTACCATAGGGCTTCTTTGAATGAAGAGTGGTATAGTGAGCTATTTTGAAAGTTCCAGAAAATAAGCTATTGGATCAACCGTAAACTTACTCCAAGATGCTGAAGAAGTCTGACACCTCTGGACTGGGAGCTCTCTGCCAGTAGGCAATCAGAGTCTCTAGAAAGAAACAACATGGCGTGAGACTCTTAGAAACGTAGGCTTTTCTCTTTTGCTCCTTTTAAATCGACTTGAAGTCATTCGCTTACCAACTGAAATTGTCTTCATAATATGAAGGAAACACATAAGAAGACTCCTGGTTTCGGCTTGATCTAATTTGTCAAATCGAAGAGTTGACCCAATCAAAGATAAGGGCCTTGGGATCTGGGAATCAAAAGACCGGTAGAGATGAGTAAGGCTGAGAGCATCCTGACTTGTGACGAAGGCATCCGACGGCGCGGTGGGGCGGGGAGCGGCACCTTTTCGCAGTTGTCTGTCTTCTCGCTGCTCTTCTCGGTGGTGCTTGGGTTGGATTCGAGGCTTGCTAAGGATGCTCTGGAATCTGCATGGTTCACTGTAGAAATAGCTATTGATGAAAATGCTGCAAACACAAGCCACAGCACACATATGGTGATGAGACGCATGAGCACAAACAAGAACTAAAACGATGGAGCAGAGTTGCTCATTGTTGAAGCAGAAACAGAATTGCAAAATAGAATCTGGGGTCGACATGGAAGCCATACAACATTTAAAACATTACAACAGTGGCCACGATGGATCTAAAAAAAATTTTTAAACCATTTTAAGTGGATATAAAGATTGTTCTTTTGATCTCTTACTATGCTTTTAAAAACTAGACAAAGACAACTCTTACTTTAACAGAAGATGATTCAGGGGAAGGAGTGTTTAACTTGACAGTTAATGAGAAATAAGAATGACATTTCCAAAATAGTGTTTAATACAATCTTTGAAGCTGAAGAGCTATTATATTTTAAGAGGCTGTGCATAACAAAAAGCTAAAGACTGTTTGCAGAATGAGGTAATTTGATAACATCCGAGCGGACAAGTAGAAGTCCGCTCTTTAAGCCAAGTAGAAGAGGAAGTCACTGGATGACGTTCAAAGAAATATGTTAAAGACTCTAGTTATATAGTGTGGTGTGCTTTGCTGGGTACATTATGCATATGAATTATGAACAGAAAGCACCATGATACACAATGTAAGCATGGATGAGTGTTATACGTGAGTGTTCTCAGCAGGCCTTGAGTACCTGCTATGGAATTTAAAACGTCTTTGGAGAACGATGTATCCACAGAAGTTGCATGCTTCATGGACGTCTGGGTTTGGAATCCTCCGCTAGTGCTTAGATCATCTCTAGATCCCTGAATTCAAAGTGGAGAAGACAAGAATGAGAATTAAGGTGCTTCGGAATGGTAGGCCCACATGCCTTTTCCATCCCTCTCCGTTAGACCGTCAGACTGACATTTTATATTCGAGCAAAGATGCTCCACTGAAGTTGGCAGTGAAAATGAATATTGCCCAAAGCATCGTCTTGCTCTCAATTTGCTTTTCTTAGACAATGTCTTCAAGTTTTTATTCTTTTCCAACTAGGTCCTCGTCACACTTCTCTGTTTTTTGTTCTGTATTTGTTTGGACTAGCCACTGGAGCATGGGTAACTCAACCGTAGCGACAATCACTGAAGACAGCCTGTTTCTCCAGCAGCCCTCCGCTGCCGTTAGCTCCCCAGGGTGGGTGAGGTCCCGTGATCCCCTCCCCATCGATGGCTGGATATTTACTGGCACAGTCTTTGCAGGCCCTGTGCAGGAGATCACAGCTGGTGTGAGTTCCTGAGTTTAGAAACCATGTCAAATGACAGCGTTTCACAGCCTCCTCCCTGATGGTTGGCTGTTACATCATAGCATCTCAC